TGCTACTCCATTTAAGTACTCCATTTCTCTCTCTCTCTCTCTCTCTCTCTCTCACACACACAAACACACACACACACACATACACACACAAACACACGCACACGCACACGTACACGCACTGTGGCCCATTTGACCTGCTGGCGTGACTTTTTCTCTCCTCTCGGAGAAATTTGTTTATATTATTTGCTAAATGCTCGTGTTGTTTAAAGGTACATTTTATATATCTGAATGTATTAAATGACAAAATTGTACAACAAATAGTATATAAATTTATTCATACATTTTAATACAAGAATTGCTGCTATGAAGAATACATAAAACTGTGTATGAAAAGCACCGTCAATGCACCGTGATGCACCGAGATATCGAATTGAACCGAATCGATGGCATGATAATTGTAACCGAACCGAACCATGAGACCAGGGTAGGTTTACAGCTCTAATATAAACACAACTAAAGAAACAAGTCCATAAACAAATTTGTAAATAAAGAAATGTGTAAATAATTGTTTATTTTTCAAATGCATACATCAAATATAAGTGAATAAACATATGTGTAAATGCATAACATTTAATATGCCTAAATATGTTAATTGAAAAAGTTTGCATTTGAGAGCTGAGCTGAATCTCAGAGGAACACACACAGACGTGAGAGTGTGAATGCCGTCGTCTGATAGAGATCTGTAGGTTTCGGCGAGGGATGCGAGTGAAGCGCAGCGATAAGAATGAGCAGTCAAGCATGAGGAAAACCCACAGTGAGACATTCAGAGCTTCCTCATTCAGGAACCAAATGACTTTTGCATAAACAATTAACACTGTTGAGTTCAGTGGTTAGAAAGATTTTAAAGACAGGATAAAAATAGTTTCTTTTATATTAAGGCTTTCAATGCCATATGCTCAACTAGACAGAAGTAATATTTGAAGAAACAGTGACGACAGTGTTAAACCGATGTCCAAAACACTTGCAGTCAATCAGCAGTACAGGGTGTGTCTAGTGACTATAGCAGAGATTATAAAAAAATGTGCAGGTCTTGTCGAGTTTGTTTTAGTGCTTTTAAATATCATAGTATACCAGGGACATTAATTACAGTATATACAGTACACATTAATTACAGTAATCAATCATCTTCAGTAACATTAATGAATATACATTATGTTTATTCTTCGTTCTTGTTACTTACAATGCAATAAGCAAGGTATAGAGTACATCCAGGCGGCTTATCGGCAACCCAATGCAAAGCGGAGGGCTGTTATACAAAACTGAAGAGCTTTATTCTGTTACAACAACCACCAGGATGTACTTTATCCCATTTATTACAGAACTACTTGCCACAAAACATAACAACAACATACACAACTTTGTTTTGAGCCATAATGGTTGATTAATTCTTTTATTAAAAGCAAAGCTGACAGAAATGAAAATGGCTGAATGGAGCATACGCTAACCTACATAATATTTAGTCACAAGGTGGCACCAAATAGTTAAAATCAGAGACATAAAAGTGTATGGATATAAGTGTATTAATGTGAACATATTCACTGATGGTCAAAAAGATGTCAAAGTACCCAGATGATTGTTATAAAGTTTCAGCAGTTGTTATTTGGAAAAACATACCTTGGAATGTTGTCACTGACCAATCAGAAACAAGTTATATTTAAATAAAGCGTTATAGCGCATTATTATAAATAATAATGCATTATAAGTAAATAATACCGCGCCAGTAACACTTGTCTCGCATTTTATGAATCACCAAGGACTGTTATTTTCCACATGGAGAAATACTTTAGTAATTAATAGAAAATACTAGGTAAAGTACTTGAAATAGCCTGTTGTGGTAATTCAACAGTTGTAATAGTGACAAAACACCATAGTAATATAAAGAATTACCCAGTACTGTAGTTTTCTACACCTATTGGGTATATTATACTACAATACACCCCAGTTTACTATAGTAAAACAGTATTTATTACAGTTTATTAGTTTGCTCTATTTATAACTACATTGTGCTGTTGCATTCATTAAGAAAAAGTTGTAAATACTATAATATATACAATATACGATACACTTTACTGTACACTCTCGAAAATAAAGGTAAGCGAGCTATCACTGGGTCGGTACCTTTTCAAAAGGTACAAATTTGTCCCTAAAAGGTACGCATTAAATACTCAAGGGTACATATTAGCACATTAAAAGTACAAAAGTGTTCCTCTTAAAAAATGTAGGTACTAATATATACATTTGAGGTACCAATATTCACCCTTTAAGTACAACCATGTACCTTCTGAAAAGGTACCACCCCAGTGACAGCTCGCATACCTTTATTTCTGAGAGTGTAGTTTGGTTCAAAACTATATATTTACTATAAATGAAATATCAATAGCAAAAAACTTCTGTAATGCTTTACTGAAGATGAAAAAAAAAATCGCCTACATCTTGGGTGGTTTAGGGACGAGTAAATAAACCACAAATCTACATTTCTGCATAAACTTTCCCTTAAAAAAAAAAAAAAAGAGAAAAGGTAAAGACGACTCTAAACAGTTGTTGAAATGCCCACTTGGACAATTTATTAAGTCATCTTTGCTTTGATTTTTTGTGAAGTTGTTTATGTGCTTTTATTAAAAACTGTCACGGATGCTGTAGGAATTTAGATTTAGCATTATGCAAAGTACTGCAATATAGCTGTTATTGCAGAAGCCTTCAAGCAGAGCTCATAAATTAGCGATTCTCAGGACAGAAAGAGCACAAGAAGAAGCGAGCGACCGAGGATCTGAAAAGACAGTTGCTCTCCACCGAATGCCAAAACTCTGGTGTTTCCGAGGCTCATCACAGCGTCAAGCGAGTCTCATAGCTGTAAATGTCTCCATTAACATTCAAATGACTGACTAAAGCTGCCAAGCAGAAAATGACTCACATTCCCTATGAAACCTTTGGATTGTTTTATTGGTTGTCCAATGTTTGTGCAGAATTGAGCTTGAGAGGACAATGAATGCGCACTCAACTTTTTTAATCTCAACACTTTAAGGAACACGACTCGCTGTGACTGTGACCGTCTAAGCATAAATCTCAAATGTTTCCTTTAACTAAAGCAAAACCAGAAGCTTTGAATCAACAACAAAACATATTTAAGTAGTAAATCTTGAATATTTGTTCTATACATTACATTTGTATGAGTAACTATTGAATTTTAAATGTCTATTATATTCATAATTGTAACTTATTTAGATTTAATTATTAGTAACTATATTATTTCTGATTTACCTATATATCTATGCATTTTTTAACAGGTTTTAGCAATTAAACTATATATATATATATATATATATATATATATATATATATATATATATATATATATATATATATATATATATATATATATATATCACATACACACATACACACAACACAATTCATGCAAACAGTGATTTTTTTAATATTTATTTACTGCTGAATACATTTAAATGACTATAAAACTTTAAATTCTGTACTTAGTAATGAATCTATATATTATATTTATAATAAAATGTAATGGAATAAATCTAAACAAATCTGAATAAAGAAGTATATTTGAAATAGAGTTAGTTTGAATTTATTTTAATTATTTAAAATATTTATTTTATAAAATTAAATTTATGTAAACACTTTGACATCTTAAAATAAAATTAAATTTCACAAAATAAAGCAATATTTATTTAAGTCAAATTGCCAAAAATAAAAAATATCTAACTTTATATCACCAAAACTAATACAAATTGCACAACAGCGTCACAGAATTGTAATATGAATATGAATATGTAATATGAAAACAAAAAATACATATGAACACAAAATCTAATTCAAAGCATGCACAAAAACTATTATAACTCATAAAACTAATTCATATTACAACATGTAAAACCTGCACCAAGCTCAGCTCAACAAAGCTGATTAGCATACATACATTCAAAGTGCTTTTTTCCCCACATATTGAGACTCAAGACAAGATGTCATAGTGAGAAAAAACTCAGACAAATTCAAAAAGTGTCTTGCATTAAACTCAAAGCTGAAAGTGTGCTGAACGCTGATAATGCCAGTTATGATATTGATGAATGGAGCAATGCTTCAGGAGCTGATCTTTCAACAAGATACCAGGACGACAAGCTCAATATCACCAAATCAAGAGATGACACGGAAAACCCCTGCACGTTTCCTAAATAGAAATTTCAGCGTATTTCTGGATAGTGTTAGACAAGCATCAGATGAAAATTAATTAACGAAAGGCTTTTGGGTTGATGATTCACGCAACTAAAAGTTATACTGAGAGCTGTTCATAAAGTGTACGACTATCGGTTCTATGACATCTAACAGCAATTGCGATAAAGTGGCCAAGGCATTATTTTAGGGATGCACCGAATTTTCAACCACGAAAAATCATCTGTCAAAAACAATATTTTCAGTTTTCGTCAAAAAGTGAAAAACGGACAAAAATATGAGCCGAAAAAAGACACAACAATGCTTGTAAACCTGTTTACAATCAATAAAATCTGTTGTTGAAAAAAATGTGGCAAACAAATAAAATGCTTAATTTGTTTTATCATTCATGCTTTTTATATGACTTTAAAAAGTTAGTTTTGCTTTTTTTTTTAAAGCTACCATCAGACAAACATCAAATGACAATTGTAAAATACAAAGCTACTTTTTAAAGTATACTAATATACTTGATTATTTACACAACTGAAAGTGATAGTGAGAGATGCTTACAAACTCTATCAGTATTTGTAAAACAAAAAATTGTGTTGCATTAGTCAACAAAATCAACAACAGCAGGAAAATACCAATATTTACATCTATTTAGACATCTGAACATTAAAGAAAGACAAAGGATGTTTAATCTATTGCATGTTTTGGAATTCGTAGAATTGATCATTTGTTTTTATTGAAAGACTTTGAAAGACTTTTTTGTCTTTTGTTTTGTTTTGAAACAACAATAATGGCAAACTCATAATAAAGACGCTGTTTACCTGAAGACCAGGTGTTTGACTTTGAACTGAGTCTCAATCACTCCTGTGGTTCTCAGTCGCACTCTCAAAACATCCGTCTCTGTCGGCATGTAATCGTCAGCGATGATCCTGCCCATGTTCTCGAAAAAACTGGAGAGAAAAAGAGAAAATCTTACTACAAATTAGCATATAAAATAAAAACAAAAAATTAACGACACATTTCCAAGTCCAATCTGGCATCCATTTTCCACAGAAATGTAGGTTTATCTTAGCCGGAAATTCTGATATTCATTTTTTCCCACATTTGATGGCCGATAACCGATAAATAACCGATATATGCAAATTTAGAATTGTAATATTGCTCATTTATCAATTATAAGGCATGACATGACAATATATATTACAGAGAAAAAATGAGACTAAAATCTAAATAACATTTTAAAAAGTAAATTTATATGCTAGCTTCTGATTGGATCATGAACATTCCATGTGTGCTATGATTGTCATTTAAATGCAAAACTAAAGTAATTCAAGCAGGTTTTGACTGCATTACAGTTCCATATACCCTGAAATATTTCAGTTACTTCATAGCTACAACAGTCAAAAAAAAAAAAACAAAGAAAAAAGGTTTGGATGAGATGTATTAAGCCCAGAGATGCCCAAACTAGGGCCCGCGGGTTAAAGTTGGCCCATGGTAACCTTTGATTTGGCCTACCATCCAGTCTGAGAAGAGACTGATAGGAGGGTTGGGGGCGAATGCCTTCAACTGACATCGTCATATCTATAACATTGCTTTTTTAGATTGTTTTTTAGAAATGTTTCAATTAAATGTTGTAAATTAGTCAGATTACTTAATAAATACAGAAAATGCTGTCAATCTATGAACAGAGAACAATGCCGAAGACATCAGCTAGACATCAAATCAAGGCAAAAAAGGTGCAGCTTGACTCGTGTATTCGGCATTGAACTCCATTCTGTTATAAACTGGATTGTTTTTGTTTTTACTGTTATATATTTATTATTAAAATACTGCATTAGGTAATACAAAGCAATGATTTATAGTTATTTTTAAATATATTAATTACCCATGGCAACTTTAATGTAATGCAGTTTGGCATATTTACCTTCGGCCCACAGCCCTTAAGTTTGCTTTTTGGCCCTTCATAAGAAAAAGTTTGGGCACCCCTGATTAAGCTGAATGAAAATGAATGAATGAGATGCGTAAGAACTAGTCCTACACACAGGAGCTGTTTGTGGACAAAACTGAGACTTGAAACTTGAAAATCTGAGCTGTGTTTGGGTTTGTCCATATTTGACCCAACACTGGGTTTCACCAACCCATTTTTATCAACATCAATATAAAAATGGTGAAAGCGTTAGGTTGAATGTGCATAAGCAATTCAACATCTAACGCATAGAAAAAATGAAGGTTAAATCTCTAATATCGGATGACAACCGATATGCTACCGATATCATGCATTTCCCTAAAGTGCAGTTTACTTTAGTATTAACATGACAAAATGGAGACATTACTGCATTAAAATATTAGATATTACCCTGCCTTTCAGCTACTCCTGGCTTGACAACAACAGGTTCATATCAAGGAGCAACTTCATATCCAGCAAACTGTCAATAAATAAAAAGCATCTTCAGCTCCTATAATCGGGTGTCTGTGGTAAAAGCCGCTGTCCTTAAGGGCCGTATCAAATTGTCTAGGTAAGCGGATTTACCTCTGACTGCAGTGGTGATAACACAGGCCCGAGGGAAACACGCGCCGTATAATAATTACTGCTATGAATATAAATACAACATGATACAGTATAAGCAAATCTGTGGGGGTTTTCTATACGTGGATGTGCTCAAGAGAGGGATTATCCAGGAGCGCGCGCTACACAGTGACATTCACACCTCACAGGAGGTCACAAACACCCTGGAGAGAGAATTAGACAAACGCATTTAAACAGTTTTGAAGCATAAACCTCAGATAAGTGTGCCACAGTTTTTGATTAAGAGTGTTTGAGGGCACATTATTTTGGTCTAAGACCATTTTATTATTCTGTTCATGTGAACTCAAAACCAGGTTGTGCTATATGCCAGTACGTCAGAGCAGATGATTTAGCAGCGCTAGCTTGATTTTGAACACTGAAATATACACACTGTTGCAGCAAAGACTGCTATAGTAGACATTAGTATATATTCAATTCAATTTATCTTTATTTCTATAGCGCTTTTCCAATGTACATAGTGCCAAAGCAGCTTACAGAAGGTCTAGTAGATTGAAACGGTGCCAGTCCAGTTTTCAGAGTTGAGGTTTAGTTTAGTTCAGTTCAGTGTGGTTTCATTTTTACTGCTGGAAGTCCAAACACTAAAGAGCAAATCCATCAATGAGAAGCTCCACAAGTCCAAACCAAGCAAGCCGGTGGTGACGGTTGCGAGGAACAAACTTCACCAATTGAAGAAAGTGAAGGAAAAAATCCTTGAGAGAAACCAGGCTCAGTTAAGCACGACCGTTTCTTCTCTGGCCAAACTTCTTGTGCAGAGCTGCAGTCTAGGCTCCGGAGGCAGGAGAACACTAGATGCTCATCATGGAGAACTGCAGGTTTTGAGTAGGTCACCGGCGGGTGTTCAGGCCGGCCCATGGGATCAATCCGATGACTTGTTAGTATATCAAATTTTAATAATTGTAGCATACTACTTAGCATTGCAGCTTTATGTAGTTAGCAGTTTTATCAGAAGATTTTAAACACCGAGATAAGCTAGCACATACCATAAACTTTAGTTTTGAAAGAGAAACAGTGCTAAAACAGTTTTAAGAGAATCTTGATCTTTTTAATCTTTTTAACTTAGCTAAACTGTTCCTTTGTATAGCTTATTTTTGACTATGGTCCTGCTATCTTTAGCCTAAATTAGTTATTTTATTGTTTAAAAAAGTAATTTTTATGAATTTTGTATGAAAACAACAACAACAACAACATACATTATAGTGTTAAAAAATGCTAGCCAATAAAATAACCATATTTTAACGACAGTAAAATGTTATTGACAGCGATCAAGTCTAGAGGCGTCACTTTACCAATGTTGCCATGACAGTACAGTAGCACTATTGCAAGCAGCAAAAGCAAGCACGCTACATAGAAATGTACTGTTGGGACGTTGTTTGACCGGACTTTGCTTTTTAGGTGAACATGTATAGTTGATGCATGGATAAGTATTCGTTTACATGAGAGGAATATCCACAGGGCGTCATACTGAGCTTGCACAAACTAGTTGAAGGTATGCTGTGCTGCTCTTGCGTTTTAGTCAGTACAGCCAAAGTCTCTTTAAGGTAAGTCATTTCACTCGGCGGCCATATTTAAAACACCTCTTAAACAGTTTGCTCGGGCATTATGTTTGAAAAACATCAAATTCCCCAAAATTGCTTGCCAAGCTTATAATTTAATTTCATATTAAGAATCACCAATCAAATTAAAAAAACAACTGCTTCTTTACTTTCATTTCTAAACGTTTGAATCGCACTAAATCTACAGAAACTCAGGTCTGGTCTGAGCCCCTCCCCCTCGTCAGTCTATATCGATCGACGATTGGCTTCTGTACTAGAGGGTGGGGCTTGATTCACCATATTGACCATTACACTTTTTTCCTATTCAAAACAATACACGTCTTGTGTATTCTATATAGTGTTTGGTACAACAACACTTGTGTGGCACAAGCAATTGAAATGAATAGGCTTTATATCGCTGCGTTTTCCGCATCCAGTGTGAAAGCAGTTTCACTCCACTACTGAAAAATCCATCTTAAACCAGCCTAGTATGGTTGGCTGGTTTTAGCTGGTCAACCAGCCTGGTTTTAGAGGGGTTTTGGCCACTTCCAGGCTGGTTTCCAGCCCTTTACAGCCTGGTTTTAGCTAGACAGGCTGGAAGATGACCAGCTAAAACCAGCTAGATCAGCCTAGTCAGGCTGGGAGCCCAGCCAAAACCAGCTATGTCCAGCTAACACCAGAATGGTCAAGCTGGTTTTAGATGGTTTTAGCTGGTCACTTTCCAGTCTGATCAACTAAGACCAGGCTGAAAATAGCTGAAAACCAGCCTAGAAGTGGCCAAAACCCCTCTAAAACCAGCCAACCATCCTAGGCTGGTTTAAGCTGGATTTTTTAGCAGGGTCTGTGCAGTGATGACAAATGGAGTGAGAGTGGAGTGAGAAAACTTTTTTTTGTCTGTCTGTCTGTCTGTCTATCTATCTTTCTATCTATCTATCTATGGCTGAAAAACAAAAACGCCTGATAATTTTCAATAGCTAAAAAGTTTTGAAATGTGCCTATCAGTTAATTTTATTTTCAGTTTTATTTTCTGGTCATTCCAGTCACCTGTGTTTGTTTTCAAATTTGAACTTATTTTAAATGTGTTATAACAATTTCAGTTAACAACAACTGTTGAGCAATATATTTGTTGCTGCCACATTAAACACACTTGTACAAGCCCTGTTGCTGTTTTAGTGACAGATAAACAGACTCACAAACACAATATCTTACTCCGTCTCAGTGCCAGAGCGATTCCTTGGCATTCCAGCTCAGTCAGATCTTGTAAACCCCCTGGGCGTCACGACAGGCGATGAACACACGACTTCAGACACCTCAGCAGAGAGGCTGAGCGTATGAGTGCGAGGTGTGTTTCTAGAAGCGTGTCTGGGTGCATATGACAGACATGTCGTTACGTGCATCGGGATGCAACTTCCACTCGTTGCTGGCCTTCAATTCCCAGCAGGACCCAAAGGCCCTGTCGCAGTGAATCTGTCTAACTCTCTATAACACTCCTTAGGGAAAGGCGAGGCCTAACTTTACCAGCTTCAGACACCAGAAATAGTCTCAAGATAAAAAGCTGCTAAAACCAGTTTCTATTGGCTATTAGCTGGTCCAATATTCTCATTATCTGGTCTACATATTTGGTCAGCTGTATTTATATGTGCAGTGTGTGTATAATTATATGTGTAGTTTACCAGAAATGTTCCTTGCACTCAAGCGGTTCTGAACTTTCCCAATTTCTTTCTTCTGTTGAACACAAAACACGCTGCTGAAGAATATTGGAGCCAATGACTTTTATAGTAGTTTACTATGAAAGTCAATGGCTAATTTTTCCAACATTTTTCAAAATATC